AACCGCTATCTACCGTTTTATCGTTTCTATTTCTTTTTTCCCTTCTCCGCTCATTTCATGTTTTGGTCGCTGTTGCAGTTACTAAGCCTCTGACCAAACGAACTGAAGCTTCTTATTGAAGAGAAATAGGGTAATTAAATCGAATGCCTTCCTTTTCTCATTATTGGAGAGCGATGGCGTTACTTGTGGTTAGTCGAGGATGGTCGGACTGTCAATTATCAAATCTTATCCCCATCCTCAAAGGGCATCAGTGGTACGCCGGTACGCAGTACCGACTTTGCTGCCTAGCAACCCATCCTCGAAAGTAGTCATTGAACGTTATACGAGAGTCGTCAAGGCTCTAACTTGTTTGCAAGCATTATGCTGTCGTGACTCATTGGTCCTCGACAAAGTGGAATCAACGAACGATATATTGGCTTCCGCGCTGGTAAAGTGCCTTGATCGGGTACCTCACTGATGCCATAATTACGGACGACCTATCAAAGTGGTTTTCCTCGATTTATTCGATTCCCCTTACTTTTACACTGTCTATATACGACTGGTGTCCCAACGAACTTAAATCCTTTTCTAAAATCCTTTTCTGAGCTCCCGATGTCCTGTAAGCCTGTACGCGATACTCTGTCATGTATTGATGCTAATCGGTACGAGTCAAATCTCCTGTGCCTACCTGTTTGTATTTGGCTTTGTGATTGATTAGCCTATGACTGCTTCCGTGCTTCATGCTCCTGAATCGAGAGTTTTGCCAAATGACCAACTATCAAGCGCAAAGATTGGTACTTTTTGTCTGTTGAATCAGTTAAATAGTGTACATCCATCGTTGAAATTCATCAGTGAAATCGAAAATAATGGTAAGCTCGCTTCCTTGGACCTTTTACTAAGCAGAAAGGAAAACGGTTTACCAGAAAGAAGCGGGTTTCTGGTGGGTCGGTCAGTACCCGCATTTTCTCAGTTTCCTTCCATTAAAGTACAGACAGAACCTTGTCCGTTGCTTGTACTTTCACGCTACCAAAATTTTCAGCCCAGAGAACCGCATACTCAAAACGTTACAAGAAAACGGTTACCCAACCCCGTTCCTCCGAAAGCACGCAATGATTCAAGATCGTCGTCAAGGGATTACAACTGCTTCCAGGAAATATGTGTTTCTATCAGTTCCCTCCAAAATGCACATTGCATTCCATGTACTGAACTCAGGATTTCCACTGCAGTGGTTCAAATCTTCCTAACTGCGTATCCACACGGCATTGCCGAAACCGCGCCGTTTGTTGTCCAACTTCTCAAAGACAGACTCCCGCCCTGTTCGAATCTTACATCCTGGCAGGACCTTTAGCTCAGTTTTCCCAGCGCTGCTTAGACCAGAACCAAGTTCCCGCCATGTGGAAGCTTGGAATAATAACCCCGATTCACAAAGGTGGAAGCAGAACTGATCCCTCCAACTACCGCCCAGTATCCCTTCTTCCTATACTCTCCAAGGTCATGGAATCCATAGTTGCCGATGCACTAGTGTGCTGTCTGGAAAACTGCAACATCGTCACGCCTGAGCAGCACGGTTTCCGTCGACAGCGGTCATGTACAACGAATTTACTAATTGCACTCAGTAGTTGGACCGAGACAAATGACGCTGGAGAAGGTGTTGCTGTGATCTGCCTGGATTTTTCCAAGGCTTTCGATCGTCTAGACCATCGGATACTACTATTCAAGCTGCAGCATTACGGGATCGGCAACCCTTTTTTAAGCTGAATCGCCAACTTTCTGCTTCGACGGCAATTAGTGGTCAGAGTTCGGAGCTCTTTATCGGACTCCATACAAGTTGAGTGTGGTGTGCCGCAAGGCTCAGTTCTAGGTCCACGTTTGTTTTGTTGTTTATTAATGACCTTTCACAGGGAATCGCTTCAAACTTCTTAATGTTTGCCGACGATATCAAGATCTGGCGCAGGATCCAGGCGAACGCCGACTAACATGTGCTTCAGACTGACCTAGATACGGTCGATCCAAAACTTATTGCATTTCAACGTCAGTAAATGCAAGGTGCTTTCCATCCGACATCAGGGCAGCTACTCATACCGGCTCGGAACGAATATACTACAACAATCAACTCTCGAACGTGACTTGGGTGTCCTGGTTCAAGATGACTTGGGTTGCTCCAGGCAATCCGAAAATGCCTCGAAGACTGGGAACCAACACGTCGGGCTGTTGCGACGGGCGTTTGGACAAATAAACAGCTCCATATTTCGACAAATGCTCAGTGCGTATGTTCGCCTCCATGTCGAATACGCAATTCAAGCCTGGCATCCATGGCTGAAACACGATCTTAATGCACTGGAGCAGCCACAACGCCGGGCATCTAAGAACGTAATTGGAATGCGCAATCTTTCCTACCAGTAGAGACTGCAACGATTGGGGGTGTTCAGTGGAAGCTATCGCAGACTACGATGCGACCTGATTATGGCATACTTGTTTCTGCGAGACTCACATCATGTGTGCCGCCCTTTACTGCAACTCAACAGCAATACAAACCTGAGAGGCCACTCATTAAAGCTCGCAGAACAATACAGTCGTCTGGAGTGCCGCAGAAATTTCTTTTCCATTCTTGTCTGTCACCCGTGGAATGCTCTCCCAGAATCGGTCGTCTCTGCACCGACACTAACAGTATTTAAAAGACGCTTGGACGATGCACTCATCCACTTACACTTTGTTACTTAACACTACATCTCCATCCTACACCTGGAGTATACCATGTAATTATTTGTTGTTAGCTGTGGGTGCTGTGGATCTAAGCTGATCGCAGGACTACGGCGGAGCAAACGATAAGCCCTCATTTTCATATTTAAATTATTAACTATTTTACTATCCTTATCCTCATTATTGTTATGTTGATATCCCCACCAACTATCCAACGGGACATGTAAAGCAACGCTTCTTAACCCGTATAAATTCATCGTTCATTGTATGTCAATTTACCTGCACCTGTGGTGTGAGGTACGTCGGACATACTGCTAGACGTCTGCCAAAATGGTTTGTGGTGCACTGTCAATCGGTATTTCAGTGAGGTATTATCAGTTGCATCAAGAGTTCTATCCCAGAATACCTGGTCGAAAGTGGACATCAAATTAGGACTGTTTATGTCTTCAAAATGTTTTGTGTTGTGCCAAAACTAACCTAAAGAGCTTAGAAAACGTATGTTACGGACGGCCGAAGGCATTGCGATCATGTTTACGCAAGCTGAGCTGTGCAAACAGGGAGCAGTTGTCCAAGCGCTTCTTCTGCCCTAGCGTTATGCAACATGACTTGCGTACAGTCCTCTTCTTCATACTGTTGACCTATTCCTTCGTTGTTACCACCTCTTTTCGGGTATTTTGACGTTGCTCCGCTGCCTGTCGCTTATCCTTTCGTTGTTATGGCATTGCGCTTCACTACATGTGAATTTATCACACCTCGTTGCCCCGCTACACGTTGACTACCTAAGCTGAACTAAGCCTTCACGAGCCACACATCATCCTCTTCTCTTTCATCGAATGTATTGTAAATGTTATCAGAGTACTACGCCACATTCGTGTACAAAAATCTGGTTGACCACGTCTGTTCCTACGAGGACACCAGCATAAGTCTCCGCTGTTTTACTCGAGGGGTATTGTTCCCAAATGTTAGGTATTGCATGCCCGCGACACTTCATTCAGCGCCCGGTTTTATACGTGTTTTTACTCACCAGTTAATAATGTACTAATGTGTCAGCTGTACGCCGTAACGGCGCTTCGCTGCCGCGCGACCACCACCAGTCGCGCGCGGACAGAATATAACACGTGTACGCCCACGCCTACGCCAGGTAGAGATTGCGGAACTGGTACTGAAATCCGGGACGCTGGGATACCACCGATTCGCGGTGGACAATACTTGCCACAGCGGTTACTGACTAGGCACGGAGTTATTTTGTGACACTCAGCGCCTTGCTCTTGCTTCGTTAGGTTTGGTATCATAGGGCCTGATCTTTCCTGCTAACTGCTGACTCTCTGGTTTGGTCTAGAGGCGGCAAAAATTCTCAAAAGCACTACTCTTTAACATCTAAGACCAGTTTTGCTTTTTTAATACGCAGTAGCATATTCATTTAATTTAAATAAATAAACTTTTATTTTAAACGATGCGCAGCATGCTTGCATCGGCATGATCGGGTAAGTGCATACTTGTATGGAACTTTGATCACATTGGGATCAGAAAAATTAAAAACCAGATCAGAGAACGACGTTTGGAAAGGCAGCAAAAGCATAATGAATCGTTATCTGAAATGAATGATGCCTTAGTACAAACAGCTTACTAACTCATATGAGAGAGTCCGGCAGCGAAACACGTACGTTATCTAACCAATCATCGTATTTATACCTACTGTCTTTACCTATTTGCCACTGTGGTATCTCGACAGTTCGACCCTTTTCTCACTTGCATGGAATTTGCCATATGGGTCTTACAAACTCGCTACTTGTAACCTACTTACCACCGCGTCAAATCAGTTGCAACAATAATTACTTTCTAATCCCGGTTATCATTACTTCGCTATATACCCCTGTGTAGTCTGATAAGCATCACACCAGCTTGCATGTTCTATGCTCCCAGTGTGTTCTTGCGTTAACGCCAATCGTGCAGAGTTTTACGTTACCCCATGCATAGGGCATCTCTCACATGTCTTACTGAGTATTCGGACTTGATTAAGTCCCTTTACTGTTCTATGACACTCCTTTTTCTCTTCCCGTTTCGCCGTCTAATTGTTACCCCGTCAGCTGTTTCAAGGCACATGTTTGCTATTTATATCTCGGCACAAGTTATAAAGCCCATGAAATGACTATACCGAAGCCTGTCTTGCTGTATATTTTCGTTTGTTCCCAGTCTGTCAGTCATTCATCCTCCACGTATCCACTTTGCTTTCATAACACCTTTTATTAGTCGCAAGCAAATTCAATGTATATCCACATACTTCATATATTTGTGCTTCTGTTCACCTTTCGCTTTTACAGGTCGCGTGCTCCGGACCATTTCCTGCTCCAGCGACCTCGACCGGCCAACTGGAAATGCCCCGTCTCATCACCCAGGGCACAAAATTCGAAGGATGCATCATCCTCTTCATGCTACTCTATTTCTTCTCCATGGCCAGTTCCATTTGGTGGGTGGTGCTCACAATCACGTGGTATTTGGCGGCCAAATGTCATTGGGCACACGAGGCGATCTCTCGTAATGCACAGTATCTTCATTTTGCCGCTTGGGCCATTCCGGCTGGGAAAACGATTGGAATTTTAGCTTTCGGCAAAGTGGACGGTGACCCGTTGTCCGGTGTGTGCTTTACCGGTCTCACTGATCCGGTGGTCCTACGCATTTTTCTCATTACACCGCTGTGCTTGTATTTGGTGATCGGGACCTGCTTTCTTTTCGCCGGATTTGTTTCCCTCTTCAAAATTCGCACCATAATCAAGACTGGCGGTTCAAAAACAGACGACTTGGAGAAACTAATTATGCGCATCGGTGTGTTCAGCTTGTTGTACATTGTACCTGCCATCGTTGTGATCGCATGCTACTTCCATGAATCCCGAATGGCAGAGAAATGGATGCTCACTTGGTACACCACCGAGGTATGTCGCAAAGTGGATCCTTACCATTTGGCCGACTCACTGTGTCCCGGCCACGTACGTCGTCTGGTCGAAGCCGGTGAAACTCCAGCGCGTTTGGCCCATACGGCGGATCAAAGTCCAGCAAATTCCGCCGAAACTATTTTGGCCAAATGGTCTTCTTTAGAGAAACCGGAATTCGAGTTGTTCATGATCAAATACCTTATGACGCTGATTGTGGGCATCACGAGCGGAATTTGGATCTGGAGTGGGAAAACTCTTCTCTCTTGGCAGCGGTTTTTCGCCCGCATGTGCCGACGTAGACGACGGAGCCGGCGTCCCGGTTGCTGCGGTTCCACACAAGATGAACATTCCATTCCAGGTTTACCCGATGATAGTCGACGTTGCGTCGGACATGCAGCTTTGGTGTCGAATGTGACCCCTAATCCCGTATCGGTTCCTCTGTTACAACGCGGTATTCCTCCAGGTTCGCATCCCGGTCAATCTTTTGTGTTTCAGGATACTGCCAACCCCAGTGGTTGGACATCCAGAGGTGCACCCTCTGGGATCACTACACCCTTACCCGAGGCATCCGCCCCTGTGACTAGTTATGCAACCGGCTGGATCCCTGGTGCAAACCCCATTTCGACCGCTGGCGGTGCCCCACAAACTGGCATGGGGAAGACGCAGAGTGGTGCACCCGCATCTGGTCTCGGTTTGGTCTGATCAACTCATTGTGCGAGTGTTGTTGCCACATTCATCTGTACACTATTTTCACCCAGCCAGACTCGAAGAAACATACTAAACACAACGGATCCTCATTTCGCGCTCGTTTCTATTGTATATTTCTATTTCACCACTCTTTTACTCGTTCCTCCGATAGCCACCACTCTAACCTATGTTCCGTTTACATCGTCCATGACTAGTTTTACCCAGGAATACGGTGACTTGATGACTTGTGTGTTTTAACTCCAAACTCCTTTGTTCAGTGTTTTATGCGCAAATGGTGTACAGTTCCAATTCATTTGTGCGGGCTGACACACGCATCGTTTATTTGATAGGTAACCCTAAATTTCTCTTTCCGATCACTACACTTCCTCGCTTGTTTCAGCTCTTTTCTCAGCTCCTAGTAGCATGCATTTGTAACTTTCTACCCTCCCATTCATTAGCTCGACGTTTTACCCCCCACAGAAAAGCCTCCACACTCAACTGCTAATCATGCTGCTTTTATTCTAAACGGTCTTTCAGTTCATTTGAAAACTTGGTATCTTCGAAGTCCGGTTTCTTTCCACCCCCTTTCTTGATGAATGAATATGCATAACTGGTGGCTTTGTTCTGGATCCAGTGAACTTGACCAACTCGCTTCTTCATTGTCGACTCTTCTTTTTCACATACAATTCCGGTTAGCGCAATCAGATCGGTCGCGGAGCTCTACTCCCAACCGAGGAAATCAGAAGTCACAAACCTTAACGAAAGGTATTTTAATCATAACCATCACCAAACAAGATACAAATAGCTTGAGACACTCATTGTAATCTATAGCTCTGGTCAAATCAGAAATGAAGCAGGCTTTCGCTTTATTGGGTTTTTCATTTATAAGTTAAACGAAACAATCACCAGCAACTCGATGTTGGTCAATCGATCTTCCTTAGAGTGAAATGCTGTTTTTATCTGAGAAGGTTTCCGGATTCTTCTGGACATTCAGTCTATGCATTTTATTCTTTCCCCGCGGTCATTAATTCCTAGTTTTTCAATGCAGCTCCATCACTCTTGTATTGGCTATTTACTTTCTGGGAGTGGGGAGATTCGTTACGGGACTCGTTTTAAAACTATAGTTGTCCCCCTTATCGAAGCTTGCTTACTATCACTGGATACCTTCGCATACAGTGCGACCGCAAGTGATTTGCACTGTATGCGTTGTTGTCTCATCTACCTGCTCTTATTCAGTATAAACTCGAAGAATAAGCTTTCGGTGCATGTTAGTTGGATCCACGAATGCTCTGTAGTCGGCCCACAGGCATGTCAGCAATGGTAACGGAGTCCATCTGATTTTAACCTAGAATCGCGACCACAACCAGCTATTATGGGTGCCACATACATCGTGGAAGAAATTGCTAAGCATTCGGTGCCAAATGAAAAGCATTCATGTCGCTGAACTACTGTTCGTTCCAATATTATGCTACTCACCTCAAGACTGTGATTCCCGTCTCCATTTAAGGCTGTTAACCGTCTTGAGACCTCATCTGTGTCGCTCAGAACCATGAGGTACATCGAGGTGGAATAAACATGAAGCACGTAATTTCTGGCACTCATCCGGGTACAGGATTGCAATGTGTGTTTTAATGGTTGTCGTGTATCCCTCCAACGGTCAAAGTCAAAACAGCAATCAAAATCTATTACAAAGGCAAGGCAGAATTTATAATCTACAAACATTGGAGGCATTATTTGTTTGTGACGGCTTCTCCTTTTACATTTTTGCGCCCTCTCCCGGCCCATAGCCTTAAGAATCACAAGCCTGCCTTGTAATCTGAGGGTGCGGGTTCGAGGCCCCGTAAGGACCGGGCGATTCGCAGGTGGTGGTTGCGCGATAGCGAAGCGTCGGTACTGCGTATCGGCGTACTGCTGATGTCCTTTTCTTTTTTGCCGTCTTTGTTTATTGGTTGGTGCGCGATTTTCATCCGTCATGTTCGGTCCCATCTACCTCTGCTATGGCTACGGTCGCACCCAACTTCGTCCCCCTTGGTTCGCATCGTCGTGGTCAGCTCGCACTGGTGACGTTTGATTGGCCTCCCGTGTGCTTACGCCGCGCCGGTCACCTTCGCCCAAACGACCAGCTACCAACACACCAACATGATAACTGCAGCAACCTCAGCTGTGCGAGACCCTGGTCATCTTTTCACATATGAAGCCAGATCGTTGCGACTTTCGATTTCTCGCAAGACATGCGCGATCGCCTGTAGTTTCCATTGTTATCCCCGCTTTAACCTATCTTAAAACATGCATTTAATGCGCTATTAGTACCTAATACACTGAAGCGGATTGGGCTACTCCACAGACACCGACACAAGCTCAGGTCCGCCCTAAATCGCACATACACGACTGCCCAGTTGCGCCTCATGCACACTACCCGTAAACTGGTTCTTCATGACCGTCAGAGCTACCCTTCGGCTAGTTCGGCATCTCATGTGGTTTATCAATTCATCTGCAGTTGCGGTGATGTTTACATAGACAAGACTAACCGTCGGTTGGCTCAGTGGGTGGCTGTACACTTACCAAAGTGGGTCGAACAAATGATAGCGCAACAAAACGGAACGCCCCACAGAACGAATCGTAGTCCGTCATCATCTATCGCCAAACACCTCTTGACAACTGGTCACCATGTGAACCCCAATAATGCGTTCAAGGTGTTAGTACGTAACAGAAACCCGATAATGTTGGCAATCAGTGAAGCGTTGCTAATTAGCGCTTATCAACCTGTGTTATGTGCACAGAAATTCTTGAGGCAATCAATCAGATTGCCTTGGTCTTCATTTTGACAGTTTAATTGGTGAGCCAATTTTTTCCCATTTGCGTCTGTGTTTCTGCTTGTATTGTGTTTGCGACTGAGGAGAACAATCGAAATGTTGACATATCGCAATTTATATCTCCTGCTTTGACGGAGTTAACTATTTTCTGCCAAATGCAGATGGCAAAAGTTTGCACATACCCAACTTGCCTGACTCAGCGGAAATCGACTGTTCACTGCGCTCCGTTTCCATGGCTTTGGCTTGTGGCTATATGCTCCCAGTTGGATGTGTAGTCTTTTATTGTTGCTCCTCCTAGGCAATTTTTCCACAGTGTTGCGGCGAAATCCAACTATTGTATCTTTTAGTAGCCGCTGCATGACTTCGCTTTCGATGGCTCCTATGATAGAGCCCACGCGAATTAATCACCACTGCTTGTAAGATTTGTGCTGATCACGTTCCGTAGCATTTAGTTTGGAATTGTTCAGTTCGTTGTTCCAAATACCGAGCTAAATTATCTATCATGAATTCTCTCCACCATCTTTGGTCCTTTCGGCAATACTAACTCCTTGTCTGCTGAAAGTGAGTGAGACTTATCTCGGTAGCAGCTGCCGCTTCTGTACAATGGAAGTGAAGCTACCTGTGGTTCTTGGTTCGTGGCTGCGTCTGGCTGACACATAGCGCCACCTCATTCGGATATCATTCAATTTCCCCCCTTTAATTTGATTGACCACGCCGTGAGTTGCATGATAGCTACCTACTTATGCTTGGCGGCATCCGGTTCCGGATTTGCTTGTCACTGTGGTCTCCACAGGACGCCTGCGCTTACAGAGGGACCGTGGGTGGCTTGCGCTGCACCACCCACAACTTCATCCACACACCCCATATCCAGTATGAACCCGAAGGAATAAGACCGGGAGGCATGCGGATGGGAGCCGCGTTTCCTCAATGGAGCCGACTCACACTCCTTCACAGGCAAACACAAGCACGCTGTATTTGGGAATCAATCGCACATGAGGCGGTGGCTGGACCGTGGTCCGCTCCACACACAAACCGTGTGCATAGAGCCACTCTTCGAACCTTTAACGCACTTCAATAGAATCCACACTATCCCACGTTTTGCCTAACCCCTGTTGAAATACACCTGCATCAGTGCGCGATCGCCCTCACTCTGTTCATCCCTATCTGCATAGGTACAACACATGCCACTGTGTGGAGTTAAACTTTTCGATAATTATCTAACCTCCCTCACATAGTGCTGTTGTTTGCTCCTCTTTTGCATCTACTTGCGTTCGGCCGGCTCCTCCTGAACTTAGGCCTTTAAGCACCATGATGTCTAGATTACTAACCAGTTTCAAACTTGCAGATGCGTTACATCTGTCAGGTGCAATTATTAGCCATGTTCTCCTTCTTATATAATGTCTGATCCTTACGTTATCCTACTGATTTACGGGTTCATGTTCGTTTGCTGGCTGTATCACATTCATCTGTCTTCGCCCATTCTGACAACCGAGGCTATTGGCTCTACATGACAACAGGATTAAAGGCCAACCAATGTCACATGTAGGGGGCACTAATTTGGTTTCTTAGATACAGACATCATCAGTACGGAGGAACACCTTACCGACGCTTCGCTGCCGCGCGACCACGATTTGCGTGTCTGGGCTAAGGATACTGCAAGGGTCGCCCGGTCCCCTATGCCGGCTCGAACCCGCCACCTCCGAAGTACAAGGCAGACTTCTGATCCTTAAGGCCATGAGCCAAACAAGATCCTCTGACGACGAACACATTTATAGAGAGTGCTTCAGTTTTCTTGCGTATGTTGTCTGCTACCAGATGTGTATCGAGATATGCGTTTTAAAGGGGACCTGTCCAATTGTCGTTTCAGGCTGTTGATTTGTCCGGAGGATCTGTGCCTCTCTAACTTCGAGGGGCTACCAGTGTCCTTTGCAGTGTTGCTTTTTTGAGAAGGAAAATGAAAAAAGATTGTGGACTTCCATCCCTATTTTCCTCGTATTCTTGCGTCATTGATCAATGTTCTCACCTAGCAATGTCACGGGATTTCTCAAGTGTCCACTGATAGTCTGCACTGGTTTTTTTAATTGTCAATTGGCCCTTACTTGTATGCATGGACGGTTGGAGCCTTCATCCTGATCCTTTGGCTCGGAGATCTGACCGCATGCTAGTGCAAGTCTCGACAAAGATGCGAAAACCTTGCTTTTATGTGCTCAGCTGTCACTCCTAGTATAATATGCTCTTTGGGGCACCTGAAGCCCGTTATCTTTCAAGCTCCATCCATCTAAATGCCACGTTTGAACGACTCCGCAAGTGAGCGATACTATCAGCTAGCATTCATCAAGGTGTACATTTGTTTAACTTGCAGCAGCACTACAATCTGTGGTTGCCTGGTCACATCTGCACTCAGTTGCACTATGGCAACCGCAACCTTCCGCGTGATATGTGCCGCCATCGAGGATGTTGTTACCAAGCACGGTTCAGCGAGGCCATTTTCAATGCAAAAGCGTATGTGAAATATTTACTAACTAGTGGTTTCCGACGATATCACCTGTTCCGTGACCTCAACTGCACGCAGCATTTAAATGTTTACAATTACACCAAATCCCACTGCCAGTTCGGCGTTATTGCGAAATCGCTTAACTGGGATTACGTATGCTATTAGACAGTAAACACGGACGCCACAGGTTAGAGTATGCAGCACTCCGTAACCACAAAGTTTCTCCCCTACTTCGGACTGATCTCACCAAAGCTCAGCGGTCTTTGCAGGATATTCCATCATTTCGCCTCTGCTTGTTTACATTTTTCATGCCCACTTTATCTCGTAATCACCACTTAGCTTCATAATTTTTCTACTCTAATCTATCCGGGTTGTTGTCATACTCAGCACTATTCGATCGTCTGCATCAGGAACTTTGTTGTTATACTCTGTTACTATCCATGTTCTGAACCAAAACCCATCGTCCACGCATCTGATGCGTTTGCATCAGCTCTGGACTGTTCATCTGTGCCATATTAAAGTGTTGTTTGAGGCTCCTGTTCCCACTTACCTACTTTTCCGATTTCATACTTTGTATGCCGCTAGAAGTAACCGGCACTACTATCTTCAGCCTTCGTCGTTGCAGAAACACTTGATTGCAACCACAATTCTCCATATTTTCCGCCACCACCCCTATACCAGTCGCCTTCTCAGCAGACTGATTCATTCCCTGGCAAGAGGTGCTTGCACATGGCAAGAAGGAAAGTGTGAGTTAC